GGTCTTCATGAGGAATTTGAGGTGTGAGTGGGTATTAACATATCTTTGGTTTCCAAGGGTGGGAGAGGTCTGAGGTGTGAATTGGTCATTCCAATGTGTAACAAGCTTGGTAGAAACATCCTGTGTTAAGTGAGGAAAGAACAAACAGAGGGCACACAGGCCTAGTGCATTACCATAAAAAATGTTTAATAAAAAATAAAGTAGGTGTTGTACTCACAAACGACAATATAGTCAAGGCACATCATAAAAGAACAGCTGGGTCAACACCGCGCTGAGTAACAGTCCACAATAGGGAGTATAGACATCCAAAAGGCTGACGCGTTTCGAGGACTTGCCTCTTCCTCAGAGGAAGAAACATTTTTTCTGGTAATGCACTAGGCCTGTGCGCCCTCTGTTTGTTCTTTCCTCATTCAATATATTTGGATTCCCCTGGTCTATTTGAGGGCAGCAAGGTGTGCATGTTCCAGGACATTCTTAATGTGGTTGTAGCCTGCATCGAGTCCATCCCCAAGCGCAGGAGCATTTGTGTTTGCTGATCCTGTGTTAAGTGTTTTGTCCATCTGAGCACCTTGAAAACTCTGCATGCATTTTTCATGATGAAAAAAGGATCTAGACAGCATTGGGAACTGGAAGAGTTAAAAAAAAATTTCAATCGCAAACGCTTATAAATGCAATTTGCCGCGTTTACAAGAGTTTTGCATTTGAAATGCTGATAGCATTGACGTCTGAATGCAAGTTTGTTGCGTTAAAAAAAACAACTGTAAACTCAACTGCCTGTAAACGAAGATGTGTACATGGACACATAGGAAAACATTAGGGTGAGTTCAGGGGCTGTTGAAAAAAACGCTGAACAGCTCCTAAACGTGAGTTTATCAGCTGCAGTGTACATGAGCCCTTAGTTCAGAGAAAAGAGTCCTGGTTCAAAGACATCATTGTGCTATATGTGCAATAACAGGGTATGTATGTGCATCAGAAGAAGCCTTTGATCTGAATGGGAGGCTTATGGTGAGCCCTACCTCTGGAGGTCACCATAGAATACCTCTCCAAGCTCAGATGTAATGTACAAACACACCAAAAATAATTATTGTGCAGCAAAGATGGCAGTACTTGGTGCATTGTGACTAAAGGCCACCAAGGTGTCTGGAACATAGAGAAGAAGTTTGTGAAACCTTGTCTGAGACAAGTTCTTTTCTTGCCAAAATCATTATTGAACATTTTTTACCAAATTTATATAAATAGTAAAATCCAAAGTACAGTCCAATAAAACACAATCACTGGCATTTTTAGAATACAGCAGCATTAGTTTGGCCCAAGAAAGCCCTGGGTTACCACTGGGTCACGGTGAGAAAAAGTATGCTTAAATTATGAATGATCTTTATGAAGTTGGGCTAAGCAGTCACAGCCTATCCACTTGTCAGGAATGACATTTACTGGAAGCAGCTGTGAAATCAAAACAGATATACTGTAGCCAAAAGCCATCTAGCTAGAAACAGAATATATCTTTTTGCATTTATTTCCTTAGTCTGGAATACCCTAAGAGGGGGACAGAGGTATGCATTTAAGACGTATTGTTTTCATTTAGTCTGTGCACAGCTGTGGTGAATCTCAAAGAAAGGTCTCCCCAGTATATATGTCCTTCAGCTTGCCTTTTACCCACTGCTACATGTTGTCTTAACAGAAGACAATAGCACATGGCCTATCTAAGGATGCATATACTGTATATTGGGAAAACAAGACAATAAAGCATGATATTTTGGAATTGTGAACATGAATTTCTTGGAAAGGACGTGATGCAGGACTGTTTGGGGTGAATGGTGCTTCCTCAGGTGGGTCCTGTCACATTACTACCTAAACTTAAATGATCACTTGCTATTCTCTGTACATTGTTCTCAACATCCAGAAAACATACAGTTAACAGATGCTTCATAGGGAAGAGTCAACAAATGTCATGCGTGATGATGTCACTCTACAGAGAAGTAGCCGCACTTGTGCAATCTGTTATGTGCCAAAGTCATGACAAAGTATAGAGCTCAAAGCTGTACAGAGTCCAGAAGAAAGCATATTGTTCCTGCAAGCAAAAACAAAAAAAAGGTTTTAATGCTCCCTTTTGTGCCTGGATGCACTGCTAGTGAACGAGTAGTGGTGGCCACAGATTTTACCTAGAGAGCTAATAATTAGTATCAGTCCTCCGTTCTAAATAATGCAAATAATGCACACAGCCAGTCCTTCACTCTGCAAACCCCCATTCATCACAGGGTTGTCTAAGCCTGGAAAGGAAGTAGGGAGCTGCTGGAACTTCTGTTTGCACTATGGAGCTTCTCTTTGCAATGCCTTCTCCTTTCCTTGCTTAGCTTGGCCATTCTATTCTAGTCCGCCGCCTCCGTCTACTGATCAAACAGTGGGTGGAACTAAAGTAGCTATTCTTCGTTCACCCCCATGTGCTGCTAGCCCTAGTGCTGCCTCGTGAGCTCCTCACCTCTGTAAGGCCTGGTTCACACTGGCACTGAAAGCAGGCGTTTGAGGAGCGTTTTTAATGATCCTCAAATGCCTATGGAAATTATACTATGGGCAGCACACAAAACATGAAGCGTTAGCATTGCGACACTTCAAAATTGAAGCCTCAGGTCGAGTCAGGAGTTCGAGGTCCTTCAACTCCTCCCATTCACATCTACTGTGACGCTCCTCAAATTCACTGGCAGGCATTTGCAAGGCATTTGCGATGCGATAATAACATTACAGTTTATTCAGTTGGTGGTGTGGTTTTAACGCTTGTCAAACGTTTATAAAATGCTTCAAGACTGCACATAGGGCGTTGTAGTTTGTGACTTGCATAGCAGCTGTTGTGTTTACACATATATGTAGGCAGGTGTATGTTTTCCTCCAACACTAGGTGGAGCTGTGCCATCATACAGATAGAGGGGAGTTTGTTTGGGCAAATTGTCTCCTGATTGGACACTGCAACCTCTAGTAACCTTTAGCTGCCATCTTGGGTGATGTAATTTTTTAATATGGCCCCCCGCGTGATTTTTGCATGTTTCTGGTGAGTGAATGGTAAAGAGAGGAACCCACTGGTGAGGGACAGTGACTAGCTCACGGTCAGGTTCCTGGTGAGGAGGGATAGCACAGGGTAAGCTCCTTCTTCATTATACACAATCTGCTGAGCCGTGCTGAGTCGTGGAGCTGGTGCAGACTGCTTGAATTTTATAGTGAATCCAGTACGAGAGAAGTAAGTATTAAAGATCTTAATTAAAGTAGACTGAGTCTTTATGAATCTCTTCCTGCCAATAAATGGCCAAGAGCTATTGGTCCCCTGACATAGAATGCTGCTATTGATAATCTCCTAATGACTGGCAAGGGACTATACCGATCAATCAGAGAGAGCAAAGCAGTAAATCAATAGCATTGCTATTCACAACACTGCTATAATTCATGCTTCCTAGGAATGAATTGCATATAAAATAGAACTGAGTGCTAAAGACCAACTCTGCAAACTTCCTATAAGTTCTTGGTTGGGCGGTATGCCGAATGTGTAAACCGTTTTTTGCAGGATATGCCAATTAAAAAATTCCTCACTCTGTACAGCCAATGCCAGTGGGAATCCAATGCTCTACACAATCTTAGATTGTAAGCTCCAAGGAGCAGGGCCCTTCTAACCCTCTTGTATTGAACTGTATTGGTGCTGTATTGTCTCCCTTTTTATTGTAAAGCGCTGAGCAAACTGTTGGCGATATATACTGTAAATCCTATATAATTATAATAATGTGATAGATTCCCCGACTACCAGCACACTCCTGAGAAGAAGGCAGGAGCTGGAAACATGCTGGGTAGCAGGAGTGGAGTTCCTAAATCATATCTTATGTTAAAGTGGTATTAAAGGTTCAGTTTTTTTTAATAACAAACATGTTATGGAATGAGAAAGAAAGGTTAGCCGCACTCCAGAGGATCGATGAAATGTAACAGATAATTTATTGATTCATCGGATACAAAGAGCACCAGGACATGTACAAAGCTGTTAACACGTTTCACGCGATCATGTGCTTATTCATAACCCAACAAACATGTTATACTTACCTACCCTGCGCAATGGTTTTGCACAGAGCAGACCCTATCCTCTTCTTTTTGGGTCCCCCGCTGGTGCTCCTGGCTCCTCCCTCTTGACCAGTGCCCCCATAGCAAGCAGCTTGCTATGGGGGCACTGGTGCATGCTCACTCTCGAGATCGGCTCTATGCATCCTTAAGACACATACAGCCGCAGCTCGGCCCTGCCCCCTCCTCTCTCCTTATTGGCTCACTAGCTGTAATTGACAGCAGTGGGAGCCAATGGCTCCTGGTGCTGTCTCATTTAATGAGGAAGGGAGTCCCTGGAAAGCCAAGGCTCTCGTGCACATCGCTGGATCAGGAGGGGGCTCAGGTGAGTATTAGGGGGGACTGAGGGGGGAGCAACACACAGAAGGTTTTTTACCTTCATGCATAGAATGTATGAAGGTAAAAAAAAACATCTGCCTTTACAACCACGTTAATGTTGTTAGGTATGTTGTTGTTGGCTGGTAAAGGGTCATTTAAATGTGGTCTGAGACCAAGTTCAGGTAAATCATATAAAGTGTCACTTTTCCCTACTTTGTGAAGTTTAGAATTCTCAAGACACTTGAAAGTAAATATATTGAGTGAAAAAAAAGTATGATGTTTATGTATGTTGGTCCTCCTGGTTGTGCTTTTTAAGTGTTAATAAACCCAGGACCCTGCATTCACTATATCTGGTCTCCCACAGTACACAGGACATGAAAATGCAATTATTTTAGTAAATATAAACTGCTAAATACCTTTTTCTCATCAGCAGTATATAGCAGTCTTGTGACTTCTATCAGTGCCTAGCTGAGCACTGGTTAAAGCTTGTAGGATGAGTTTTTATTCTTCCTAATTGTCCTATAAGGCTGCATAACCCCTGACCCTCTGTCTGGACAGTGCTGATTGGCCCTGTGCTGATCATACACCCTCCCCCCCCCAAAAAAAAAACAACAAACTCTCTAGCAATACACACAAAACATGTGCAGAGTGCCCCCTAGAGCTTTGTATTATCAGCAGATTGATTGGGGAATGTGCAAGAAGGGGAGGATCACAGAAGACAGGATCAAACAGCCTTTTTACACAATGCAGAGGATTAACCCCTTAGGTTCCACAGTATCACAAGCATGCTTTACTGCATATACAGGGTGATTTTACTGTTGTGGGCTTAGTAACACTTTAAAGAATGCCTAGCAGCCTTCCCTCTTAATAGGTAGAATAGGCAACACAAGAGGCTATGTTTGAACATTGTGCAACCATAACCATGCACATAGTCTCCGAACCATGTACTTCTTAAAGCAGGACTTACTGTATCTGAGCAACACAAACTGAAAATGCTACTTAATTAATGTTTAATATTCAAAGCAAACTCAACCATCCTTCCACATCTCCAAATCACTTTTAAAAACATCCCCCTTGCATCGGTAGCTGTGGCCATCTTGAGTAAGGGCAGATGATTCATGTAGCATTTACTTCCTGGAATCCATCTGCCCTTAGCTCAGGCAAGAGGGCATGTTTAGCTGAGAAAGCCTTTCCTCCAGATGAAAGAACAAAAAAATGCCAATGAATCCTGGAATGTAGAGTTTGACATAATTTTGGCCTAGACCAGAAACAAGGAAGCAACTGAAGAAACGTAAAAAAAATTAAATAAATAAAAAAGGTTAAAACAAGTAAATATAATATACTGTCCTATCTATTTACCAATGCTAGCAGCATAAGAATTAAATATAGCTAAGCTTTAGCTCCCACACATGTATACCCTTACAGGCTTATTAATTCAGCAATAACCTTGTAATGACTTAGTATACAGAAACAAATCATCTATATTTTTATGACAAGCAAAGCTTTATTTTAACAATATTGTCTTATGACAATTATTTTAGTTTCTGACTGCAGAGCTCAGTCTCAGTCTTCACAGGACTGAGGTTGAGCTCTGCAGTCACTGTTGCGAAGGTTGTTGCCTTATTCCGGGTCACAGTCCTGTCCAATGTCCTCCTGTCCAATGTCCTTTTTGTCTCTTTTGGTCAGTTGACCATGTCAGCTGCACTGATGCTCATCAGACGACTTTTTCCTAGAAACTATATATGCCATCATAACCTTTGATACTGTACCTCAGTCAGACAGGCACCAGCTAAGTGGCAACAACAATTTGCCCTCTTTGAAGCTCAGTAAGCTCTGACATGACTCCATATTACTAGCAGTGCACGCAGTGAATGACGAAAGTGAGGCTTCCCACCTCTTAGCTAGGTGTCTCATCACACAGCGGAAGCAAAAGAATGTTGCATCACTTCCACTTTTAACGCAAAACATGTCACTTGCAAATCATGTAGTGTTTCCATTTTTTTGTAAAACCGCTGTATTTTATTCTATAATTTACCCTATTTATAACTACCACCATACGTTTGTGGTATAAAGCCTGCTAAAGTTATTTACAAATTAATTAAAAGCTTATTAAAATGTATTAACTATGTAATTTACTTTTGTCCCTTAAAAAGCTGAACAAAACAAATGGAAAAAAAAGTTTAAATATGAAGAGTAAAAATGTATTAAATCAAAGTGAGGATGACATTAGTTGATGAGGGCTAGCTAAAGAATAAAAAGGGATTAAATCTGTGCAACTTTTTTATTTAAATGTACAGTTCCTTGAAAAATTATTCATGTCCCTTGAAATTTTCACATTTTGTCATGGGGCAGCACAGTGGCTAAATGGTTAGCACTTCCACCTGGCAGTACTCGGGTCGCTGGCTCGAATCCCAACCACGGCACCATCTGCCTGGAGTTTGCATGTTCTCCCTGTGCCTGCGTGGGTTTCTTCCAGGTACTCCAGTTTCCTCCCACACTCCAAAGACATGCTGGTAGGTGAATTGGATCCAGTCTAAATTGGCCCTAATATCTGTATGTATGAATGAATGTAAGTTAAGGACCTTAGATTGTACGCCCCTTGAGGGTTAGGGAGTGATGTGAATGTACAATACATATGTGAAAGCGCTGCGTAAATTGATGGCGCTATATAAGTACCTGAAATAAATAAATGTTACAACAAAAAATGTAAATGTATTTTATGTGATAGACTAACACAAGGTGGCACATAATTGTGAAGTGGAAGAAAAAATTATAAATGGCTTTCAACATTTTTTTACAAATAAATATCTGAAAAATGAGGTGTGCATTTGTATTCAGCCCCCTTTACTCTGATATCCCTAACTAAAATATAGTGGAACCAATTGCCTTCAGGAATCACCTAATTAGTAAATAGAGTCCACCTGTGTGTAATTTAATCTCAGTATAAATACAGCTGTTCTGTGAAGCCCTCAGGGTTTGTTAGAGAACATTAGTGAACAAACAGCATCATGAAGGCCAAGGAACACACCAGACAGGTCAGGGTTAAAGTTGTGGAGAAGTTTAAAGCAGGGTTAGGCTATAAAAAAATATCCCAAGCTTTGAACATCTCACAGAGAACTGTTCAATCCATCATTCAAAAATGGAAAGTATGGCACCACTGCAAACCTACCAAGACATGGCCGTCCACTTAAACTGACAGGTCAGGCAAAGAGAGCATTAAACAGAGAAGCAGCCAAGAGGCCCATGGTAACCTGGTGGAACTATAGAGATCCACAGCTCAAGTGGGAGAATCTGTCCACAAGACAACTATTAGTCGTGCACTCACAAATCTAGTGTTTATGGAAGAGTGGAAGAAGAAAGCCATTGTTGAAAGAAAGCCATAAGAAGTCGCGCTTGCAGTTTGAGAGAAACCATGTGGGGGACACAGCAAGCATGTGAAAGAAGGTGCTCTGGCCAGATGAGACTAAAATTTAACTTTTTGGCCTAAAAGCAAAACGCTATGTGTGGCAGAAAACTAACACTGCACTTCACTCTGAACCAGGGGCAGACTGACAACTCATGGGGACCCTGGGCAATTGGGGATCATGGGGCCCCTGGGTCCTTGCCCACACTCAAAACACACCCAAAAAAGCCTATAAAAAGATACCAGGGGCATTTTATGGGGCCCCCTTCTGACCCCGGGCCCTCGGGCAGTGCCCGAGTGCTCGAATGGTCAGTCCGCCCCCTGCCCTGAACTCACCATCCCCACTGTGAAACATGGTGGTGGCAGCATCATGTTGTGGGGATGCTTATCTTCAGCAGGGTCAGGGAAGCTGGTCAGAGATGAAGGGAAGATGGATGAATACAGGGCCAAATACAGGGCAATCTTAGAAGAAAACCTGTTGGTGTCTGCAAAAGACTTGAGACTGGGGAGGAGGTTCACCTTCCAGCAGGACAACGACCCTAAACATACAGCCAGAGCAACAATGGAATGGTTTAGATCAAAGCATATTCATGTGTTGGAATGGCCCAGTCAAAGTCCAGACCTAAATACAATTGAAAATCTGTGGCAAGACCTGAAAATTGCTCTCCATCCAATCTGACAGAGCTTGAGCTATTTTGCAAAGAAGAATGGGCAAAAATGTCACTCTCTAGATGTGCAAAGCTGGTAGAGACATCCCCAAAAAGACTTGCAGCTGTAATTGCAGCGAAAGGTGGTTCTACAAAGTATTGACTCGGGGGCTGAATACAAATGCACACCACACTTTTCACATATTTATTTATAAAAAATGTTGAAAACCATTTATTATTTTCCTTCCACTTCACAATTATGTGCCACTTTCTGTTGGTCAATCACATAAAATCCCAATAAAATACATTTACGTTTTTGGTTGTAACATGACAAAATGTGGAAAATTTCAAGGTGCATGAATACTTTTTCAAGGTACTGTATTTATTTTTTTATTTGTAAGCTTGCTTGATTGGCATTGCCCTCTTGATCTGCCCAAAAAAAGAACAAGTCTTAATACACTAATAATATTGTTACAGCATATTTATCTACGAAAACTGCAATGTGTTATATTATTACAGCTGCAACCAATACAACTGCAATACAGACAAAGATGGGGCAAAACAATAGCTGATTCCAAATATTTCCAAGAACTTTGCAGCAGTGTCAGGCAAGAAGGTCTAGGACAGTGATGGCGAACCTTTTAGAGACCGAGTGCCCAAACTGAAACCCAAAACCCACTTATTTATTGCAAAGTGCCAACACTAACAGAGCTTCGTAGAAGTGGAAAACCCAGTTACTCCTGCGCTTGGGGATGGACTCAATGTCATTAAGACCACATATGGAAACTCATGGGATATGCACGCCTTGCTTCCCTCAAAGGACAGCGGGAGTCCAAAGTAATGAATAGAGAAAAACAAACAGAGGGCGCACTGGCCTAGTGCAATAACTTAAAAATGTTTATTATTATTATTATTTCAGGTACTTATATAGCGCTGTCAATTTACGCAGCGCTTTACATATATATTGTACATTCACATCAGTCCCTAACCCTCAAGGGGTGTACAATCTAAGGTTCCTAACTCACATACATACACATACTTGGGTCAATTTAGACAGGATCCAATTAACCTATAATGAATGTAAATAATAAGTATTCTACTCACAAATTATCAATAAATAAAAGGCACATCATAAAGAAACAGCTCTGTCCAATTCACACTGCGTTGTGGCTCTGAGGAAGAGGCTAGTCCTCGAAGCTTTTTGGATGTCCAGAGTTCTCACTACAGATAGACACGCAGTGTGAAATTTGACAGAGCTGTTTCTTTATGATGTGCCTTTTATTTATTGATAATTTGTGAGTATAATACTTATTATTTACATTCATTAAACATTTTTAAGGTAATGCACTAGGGCGGTGCACCCTATTTATTTTTCTCTACTAACAGAGCTTCCACTGACCACCAGCACAAGGGGGCAAAGTTCCACTGACCACCAGCGCAAGGGAGCAAAGTTCCACTGACCACCAGCGCAAGGGGGCAAAGTTCCACTGACCACCAGCGCAAGGGGGCAAAGTTCCACTGACCACCTTCGCAAGGGGGCAAAGCTTCATTGACCACCAGCACAAGGGGGCAAAGCTTCATTGACCACCAGCACAAGGGGGCAAAGCTTCATTGACCACCAGCACAAGGGGGCAAAGTTCCACTGACCACCAGCACAAGGGGGCCAAGTTCCACTGACCACCAGCACAAGGGGGCCAAGTTCCACTGACCACCAGCACAAAGGGGGCCAAGTTCCACTGACCACCAG